CTTGGGAAGATGTCACTGTCTCTTCTATCGAGATATCAAACAGAAATATGTGTCACTTTTTTCTTCACAAAATAACTCCTTATGCAAGCACTTTACTAGAGAAGCATTTTGCGGATCCTGTTCTAAGGATCTTACCTCCACCTCTACCACCACCTCTTCCTCCTCCACGTCCACCACCACGTCCTCCTCTACCACCTCCTCTAGGAGGACCCTTTTCTCCAGGAGGCCTTGGCAAAAATCTCTGCAGGGGTAGTAGCTTTGCTGGATCAATATAAAACTGTAGGAAGAGAGTTCCATTAGGCTCTGAAAGCATCAGGACTTATGAGCGCATTGATTTTTTTTATTCTTTCATAAACATTCACAACTGAGTCTCTATGTCAAACTGTCCAATGCAAATGGCAAAAAACCAAAATGCAAATATAAAAAATCAAATTATTGAAAAAAAAGTCTGCATTTTAGAAATTTCACTAGTTACATTTTTTCTCAATAAAAAATAAAAACAAGGCAAATCAAAAAGTGAAAAGGAAGAGTAAACAAAAACTAAAGTTTTCAAAGGACAATCAGCCTTTAATGTCAACAAAAAACCCTATTTGTAAAGCTGCATTTTATCTAATCGATGACATACAGTAACATTCTGCTATTAAGACTGCTCACCTTTTGCATTTTTTTAAATGAAGAAGCTTTCATGTTCTCAGACAGCTTCACTGAAAAATACTATTATTTTCTTTAAGGAACATAACATTAATAAAATATTAGAAACAGTTTCTTTGACTATTATATATAACTATTCTATATAAGAAACAATTCAGACAACTTCTTTAGCAGTACATAAAACGGCATCATTACAAATGAAAAACAGTAACTGAAACTTCAGAAGAAACTATTTCTAGTTTTTCCCCACGTCTTTTTTCCACAGCTACACATACAACATTTTGTGGTAAAATCTTTTTCTTCTACCCTTGTATTAAGGCTTAAAAGAAGAATATGTCAATGGGCAAGAGTATTATAAAATAGTTGTGAAGAGACAAATTGATAGATAACTACCGTCTGAATTCCCATGATGACCTGGATATATCTCCAGAATGATCTGAATGAACTCCATGATGCAAGGGCTCTGCTAGCACAGATCTTGTCAGATACAACTGCCTGGCAGCTGCCTGGAAAAGAGGTAAGTCAGCCCAGCCTCATCCTTCAGGCAAAATGGCAGTCTTCATGACTACACATACAACCTTGCCCATCCTGTGGCTCTCAAGCATACAAGGCCTGCTATACACCTTTCAAAAAGGGCTGGCCAACTCAACTTAAGAAATCTGAAGACTAAAATGGAGAAGCAAGAAGCAGTATGCTACAGTAAATATGCTACGGTAGCAGGATGAAAATAAAATGTTTCTGAAGTCCAAGTAATTTCAATGCAAAAAGTGAAGTTGTGATCAATACAATTTCAAATGAAATATGTTATCTAACACATTCAGATCATGACAGTGATTTAAACCTGCACATTTTACTTCACATTTAAAAAAGTACAGGAGCATGCACAGAGCTGGGTACCAATATTCGGTCAAAAAAAGACTAAGTCTTACTGTCACTTCATAGGTTTACTTTGCCATTTGTCTCTCTCTCTTCTGTCAGGAATTCTGTCAATCCAGCAATAATGACAGAAGGGACCCACCAACTTTGACTCAGCTATCCTCCTTCGCAACAAGATACATTAGCATGATCTCTCTTCACAATTAATTTAAGGAATAAGTTGGACCATAAGAAAGATACCCTAAAACACAGACCGCCCTCTCCCTTGGGCCAAGTCAGTTATTATGTTCATAACCTATAGCAGGTAGCATCTTGAAAAGCAACATCTTGAAGCCCCAATCTCAGAAGACATCTGCCAGTACCTTACATATTACAAACTTAGCTGATGTCTCTGGCTGACACAAGATACCAATATTTTCTTCATATCACAAATATTTTAAGATAAGCACCTCATCAGAATGAGGCATTTACTGACAGCTGCAGTTACATCTATGACTATTTACATCTAACTATAGCCAAGCCTTAAATTATTTGAAAATTCTAGAGTAATTCCATTTAACAATCAGCCTTTAAAACACAAACATCATACACCACACATGCTTTTGAAGGATACAAAATCTCTTAGCTGTCCGAAGATTTCATCTACTTTGCCAATCTGCTCCTTATTATCCAAGTACACGGGTGCATTGAAATAAGGCACCCTGTTTTCTTCTGTTTTACATTTACAAACAATGTCATCTTCACATGGATGCATGAACTCTCCCAACACTGAAATAAATAAGAAATACTTAAGATCTGCAATGGTCATTCTACATTAAACAAACGTAATCTCTTCACATAACTTACAGACTACCCTTTCTGGAGGTCCCTGGTCATATCCGCCTCTGTTGAAGCCTCCTCGTCCACCACCTCCTCGTCCACCGCCTCCCCGTCCAAAGCCACCACGTCCACGATTAAAGCCACCTCTGTCACCACCTCCTCCACGATTGAAGCCCCCTCCTCTTCCTCCTCCACGAAAACTCATTCTCTATGACCTCCTAAACTGAATGGGGAGGAAAAAAAAAAAAAGTTTAGAAGTAAAAGGTGCTTCATATTTGACTTGCTGTATAAATACAGATCTCTAGACAACATTATTTGCGAATTTAATAGTTAGACACTTCATTCCTTACTGAAAACATGCAATTGTACAAACTTCAAATTTCCACCCAAAACATAATCTACTGCAATGTCTATCTGTAAAAAGAGACTCCCGATAACACTATGGCTTTTATTCATGTTCCTCAGAATTCTCCATTCCCATTACGGGCCGCGCAGCACAGCTATGCACCAGACCTGTACAGGAGCGCGTCGAAACGAAAGCGTGCACAGCACCGACAGCTCCTTTCCCGGCACCCTCCCAAGGGCCGAAAGGGCCTCCAGACCCGCCAGCAGCCTGCGCATGGGCGCCCTCCCCGCGGGACACCACCACCTCCAAAGCCACCTCAGAAATCCCTCAGCGCAGCCGGGTCCGAGGAAGCGCGGGCGCGTCACAGCCCGGTCAGTAACGGTCAGTAACGGCCGCGCGCCCTCCCTCACGGGACGCGCAGCCCCCTCACGCACGTGGCGCGCGCGGCCGCTGTCGTCAGCAGGACGCGCCTTAACCTCGCGCATGCGCAGCCCCCCTCCGCCGTAAAGCAGAACCGAGCACAAACGGACGGAGCCACAAAAGCCCCATGGAACGCGGTGGGGGGGCACTTTTACGACTGTTAGGGAGCGTCCTGGCAACCGTTAAGGGCCGTTGGGCACAGGCGCGGAGGCCCTTGGGCCGCCGCGCGCTCCGTTCAGCTGCGCGAACAGCTGCGACTGCAGCCCGCGTTGCAGGGGTCCTCGCAGGGAGTGAACCCCAGGGCCGCCGGCAGCGCGAAAGCAGCATCCAAACATGCTGAAAGAACAAAGCGCGCAGAGGGGAAGCCCATGTCCCACCTCTGCTCCAACAGCCTTGTGCCAAGCGTGCCTCGTGTCCGATCCGCAGGGACGGCGGCTGGAGCGGCAGCAGGCTGCACGCACACAGCACTGTCCTAGGGAAAGCGGGCATCTCTCAAACCTGCCCTGATGGGTCTCGAAGATCTCAGGGTGGACAGCAGTAAACCCACTTTATAAGGGAAAAGGAACACATTTCTGATAATGGTGTGACGGGAAAGTAATTAGCAACAAGAAAAAAATATATATAACAATGAAGTAATGAAAACAATGAAAAAGACAACAGCCCCCTTCTCACCTTCTTGAGACTGCATTGATCAAGTTCTGTTCATTTCATCTGCTTGTAGCAGCTGTGTTGAACCGCAAACATAATCCCAAGCATTGTACAATCCATGGCTCCAGCAGTCCCTCTCAGACTCCAGGCTTCTACTGACCATGTCTCAAATGATGAGGCCTTTTTTAATGTCACTGTGTGACACTGAGCTCTAAAAAAGTTGGGAGGGCAGAAAGTTGTCTTAACAGGGAAGAGATATGACCCTCCCTCAGTAACCTGCCCGCCTAGAAGAAAAATCTGTTACCATCTTGTATGTAGCCTGTACTGCTATTTGTGGAGGATTCTGGTTCTCTTGTTTTGATTTACTGCTTTTCTGGAAACTGACTTTCGAAAGAATACTTCAACCACTTGACAAATACTTGGAGCAATTTTCTATAAAATCTTGTCATATAAGCCCATAATTTAGCTGACTATATAATGGATAGTACATGTCTGTTTTTCATTTTTTCTCACACCCCCCATATATGTAAATAAAATCTGTTGTGTAAAAATACATTTATCTTCAACACTAATTCATCTGATTAAGATAAATGCCTATAACCAGGAGAATCAGACTGATGATTCTGTCAGTCTCTTCTGGCAAAGGAATGCATTCTTAATAAGTTTTTCCTTTTAATCATTTACTTTAGGGCCTTTACTTTTGTTATCTCTTCTTGCAGTTACAGTAAAACCAGATGGATTGAAGCAGGATCCCTCTGGTGAGATCAGATTTATCAGTTAATAATGGAGGCTCCTGCACTTTATTTCTAAATACACTTTAAAGTATTTTACTAGTGGTTAAAAATTAAACACAAATCAAACAATTGGCATTCAAAAGAGTCCTAACTGGAGGATATCTCTCAAAAAAGAGAGATAAGACTTCATCATGAGTGTGGTTCCAGTTCTCTTGGTTTTCTTGTCTCTCTTTTATTTTTGTGGAGCAGAGGTAAGAATTTATTTTATTGTGGTATCATTAATTTATAAAAAAAAAAGTCAACAAGATTACTTTTGTAGAAGTTTCTTTTTTTAAGTTTCCTTTCATAGTATTAATCCATTTCTTTTAGCGCAGTCTGAATATTTGAAGCTTTCTATTTCATGGTATCAATTAAATCTGAGATTTACATTAACAGTCTTCTGGAAAAGATTTGAATTATGATCCTAAACCAAATTTTTGATCAGAGAAAGGTGCAGCAGTTTGTCCTGTCGCACTTTTTTTTGAGAAAAGAGGTTATGATCTTAACTTCTAACATGGCAACATGCCTGAAGTTTTGCTCTGGAATTTGTTCTGGCAAAAGTGCCCCATTAAAGTCTATGTGGGTTCAGCATTCACCATAACCTGAGTCTTTTAGCAGAACCCTTACATAAAAATCAGCTGCTTTGGTTCCCATTTAGTGCAGCTGTGGGGAAATGTCTTTTAAAATATGAGACTTAGCCAAGCCAGGTCTGGCTAATAGGCTGGCATGTAAATTTAGAGATTATGCATTGGATTTTACTGACCTGAGAACAGCAGAAAAAGTTTAGTAAGATGATACAACTGTTAAAAATTGCTTTGGACTAAAAGCTGCCCCAACAATATACCCACTAATTTTACTAGGGCCAGGATTTCTTCATGAGAACTTTAAACCTAAGCTTTATTGATTCAGTGGACACAGTCAAAGTTGAAAAATCACATTTGAGGGCTAACCCTTCCCTTATTTTTTATGCAAAGTCCATCCATGTATTTTTCACATTTCAATTTTGTTCCCACCTTTAGCTTTTACGAAGCATAAGCACAACTATGTAGCCTCTGGAGAGCTACATGAAGATAAATTCAGATATAGAGCCACTCACCTAGAGATGGTTGGTTGGACAGTCAGAATCAGCCCTTGCAGTCCAGTAATGACCAGCAAGAACGCTGGAAATCCACTGATGTGCAAGATACAAGAGAAAAAAAAGGATGATCAGGAAGGACATTTCATTTTCAAATTTCTTGAAGATACTTGCAGATACTTGCCTTTTAGGTAGTTCATTAATATTTACAGGTGAGATTTGAACTCAGAGCCAATTAGAAAAATAAAACATCTCAAAAAAAATCAAGTTGCTACTTTTTTATTTTCCTAGCACTTAACTCCCATTATGAACTTTGCTTACAATCCCATTGCTGTGGTATGTTAAACCACTTCCTTAGAACATTTATAATCTACTATGAATTTCAGCTGATGTTCGAACAAGAGTGCAATGTTTGCAGAACCAGTAAATGAAAATTGCACTGGATGAATGATATAGAAAGAAAAAGACTCCCCAAAAAAATGAGAAGGATGAGGTGGTAAAAGGCAAGGGAATAGGCACCATAAATGAAACTTAATACCTTTATGTACAACAGGAAAAGGTGTGTGAGAAAACATTGCTGGAGAGAGGGATTTGCAGGACTTTCGGTAGCTGTTGTAATTCCTGGTCTTGATTTTTTTTCTTTTTTTTAACTTTGTGCCTTGCAGAATGCAGCATCTAATGCTGAAGAAAAACAGGTTAGGCCTGTCCAGCCAGCTGAGCAAGAGAACTACTTGATAGAAGAATGTTTAAGTAACCAATACACACACAATTCCTGTAAGAAAGTTTTTTGTAACCCATGGGAACGATGTGCAGAGGGAAAATGCCATTGTAAACTTCCCTACCAGTGCCCAAAGAATGGCACTGCAGTTTGTTCTACCAATGGAAGGCAGTTCCAAACTTACTGCCAGCTAAAGAGCTATGAATGTCAACAGCCTGCAGCAAAGTTTCTGAACAATGGGAACTGCGTGTCTGGAGGTATTAATATCTCCTTTTCCAAAATATATCAGTCATGCATTTGCAGAAAAGTAGATGCTTTACTACTTACAGCTCAGAAAGCCGCTTTATTTCCTTGCAGTAGTAAAAACATAAATCAGAAAATGAGAACACTGAAAATGGGCACTATTTATTGATTTTCGTAAATCTACAGTGATTGTCAGGCCCAGCTGCCCACTCATACTTCTGCTATTTGTATCTGTCAAACTATCTGGTGGAAATGGAGGAAAGGGAATGAGGAAAAAGCGTGCCAAGGTTTCCATCCAGATATCAGACCTGGTGGGAGGCGCAGAGGGAGGGGGCCGCGGGGACAGACACCTCGCGGAGGAGGTGTTAAAGGTGCGGGGAGTTCAGGGGGAGCAGGTGCGTGCCGTTCACCTCGCGTGCGCGTCCCTGACACAGAGCTGCTGCTCCGCGAGCGCGGCCGCCCGCCTGCTGCCCGGGCACGCGCTTGCCCTCTCCTGCTCTGCAGGCTGCATCAAGCTGCTGCTCAGGGCTCTGGCAGCACAGCAGCCTTCACCTGAGCCTCCCTCCCTCCCTCAGGAGGCTGCTGCAAACTGGCTGCGGTCTCTAGCCATCTCCCTGCAGGGCTTCACTAAGTTAAGGGCTGGGAAGCTGCATCTGCTCAAAAAGCTCAAGTTTTGCCACAAAATTAATAGTTGCAGGATCTAACTGTCTCACTTGGCATCTTGCTGACTGGTTATCAAGAGCCCTATAAGGAAACTCATGATACTAAGATGCAAGCTTTTTTCAGCAGGCCTCCATGTACTCTTGAGGTAGGAACCATTATCCTCAATTGTCCTGAAACTGGCATATTTTGAGAAAAGACTTAAAGTCAATCGCCAGAAGAATCAGGAATAATACCTAAAGGTTCTGTTTCCCAGTCTGTTGTTCCTTCCATGCGAACTTCTACTGTCTAAAAGAGTTAAAATTACATCTGCTTTATTTCTGTACTGTCTTTCCACTAAAATGCTTCTATAAAATAAGATTGGATTTGATGCTTTTGGGGGATTTCCCTTTCTTTTTGAATCCTTTTTTTTTTTTTTTTTTAGAAACATTTGAAGTTTCTTTGGGCCATGGCGATTCAAATTTGCTTCGAGTAAAACCTGTGAATCGCAGAGAGGATCTTTTTGTATGTGATAGTGAGTGGACTATGAATGAAGCAAATGTGGCCTGCAGGCACCTTGGCTTTGAGTTGTAAGTGTGGGGGATTTTCTCTCTGGATAACCGCAATGGGTCTGAAAATGTACTGGGGCTCATGTTAGGGTCAGTTACTGTCAGCCAACAATTAATAAGATTCAAATACAACGTATCAGCTGTAATATCCTGAAAAAGCTTCTTAAATTGACACTTGAGAGTGAAAGACAAAATGTAGTGTTTTGGGTTTTTTTTTTCCCCCTATTCTATTGCAAATAGAATATAGGATCCCATTCAAGCCATAATTATTTTAATTCAAAATAAAACGGAAGACTGATGCATGATTTTCCTGCCAGCTTGGCGCAAGGGAATCTGTGTAGATGCAGCACTGCGCAGTACCCCTGAGCCACGCATCGTGCCCAGAAGCTCCCCAGCGTGGCTCCGCACGGGCTCAGTTCTGCTCTGCCCCTCGCACTAGCCAGGCTGGCGAGCACCAGAACAAGGCTCTCCGCGCAGCTCGCCCCGCTGCCCTTGCTTGCTCTGCCCCCAGGACTGGCTGGAGCTGCACACAGTTTGTTCTCTATCTTGTGACCACGCTGATGAGCTGTGTTACGCACTCAACTCATCATAACGAGTTCCTTTTATATCCCGTAAACAATATTTTTACAAATATACCACTAATTTAACTTAGGCACGTAGGAATGATCCCCCCAGCAATCCTACCAGAAGACTGATGCTATTTCCTGAAATTACACAGACGGAATTTGTGCTGAGACAGAACACTCAGTCCTCAGCTCCATTGTAAGCCTCTGTAGTTACTTATTTACTCGGTCGGTATTTGTTTAGGAGACGCACACACAGATGCTTTAACAGGGCAACATTCAGGCAAAATCACAGCCACATTTGAGGTAGGATTTATTAAATCCCAATCTTGCATCTTCCTGAGCTCCCTCACCATGCACTGATTCTGATAACATAAAGGATATCCAACCTAATGCAATAATTTACCTCCACAGTTTCCAAATTACAGCTTATCTGTGTCCATACAGAGACAGCACTGACAAACTGACAAGTTTTTTTATACAAGCAGAATCTTCTGTCATGATACTTGGTTACTCTGGCAGGGCTACATATGAATCCAGGGCCAGTCCAATGCAGCAATTGGCCAAAAAAAAATCATTTTGTTTTGCTTTCCCTCCCAAAATAGTAGAATCTCCTACTCACCACATCCCATTCCATATGAAATCTGTAGTTTTTTTCTTGGTCATGACCAAAATTCTTGGCCATGACCAAAATCACACAACGTCTGAGCAATAAAAGCAGAGGACAATCCACTGAAATTATATGAATTGTTATTATTTGTGTCTTCACAGAGGTGCTCAATACTACCAGTCCAATTCCAACATCATAAAATCTACCTTAAATCCATCACAGTGTCTTCAAATAACTTGCAGAGGCCTAGAGACAAGTCTTGCTGAATGTTATATAGTGGAGAAATCAAGAGACAGGAATGAGGGATTTGTTAGCCTTGAGTGCTATGAAAATGTCAGAGGTCAGTAGTATTTTCTTTGTAAAGATCTATAAGGAGTTCTTCATTTTAAGTTTATTTTACATATATAATACATGAGCTAGTCCAAAGAAGATCACTACTTACTTTAGCAAGCCTTAATATGCCTTGGGCCAAACTGCTTAAATAAAACGAGTAGGAAAAATATTTCCCTGGGTAGCTGTGAATCTACAGATTTCTCCACACTAACTGTGTTTTCACCCTGCGGCACAGACTGCTCAGCCAGCGAGTTCCACTGCGTCAACAGCAAGTGCATTTCTTTGACTAACACCTGTGATGGAATCAACGACTGCGGGGACCTAAGTGATGAGCTGTGCTGCAAAGGTAACACTTACTTTCTCAGATGGTTGTAAATCATTCAGAAAACCTTCCCCAAAGAATGCAAAAACTTTCACAAAAGAGTCACTATGTTAAGGCAACCAAACCATAGTTTCAGTATAGATAAGGGCAAAAATAGACACATAACAGTTTTCTGAAGCAGGCAAGTGATCTCTCGGAATGAAAAAATACAAAAAAAAAAAAATATTTAGGAGACCATATCAAATACTGATATAAAATATTACCAGTGTTATATCAAATGATAATGCATCATTAGTTGATAAAAATCAATAATTAATGCATCATCTTATAAGCCATCTTCAAAACAAAGTAAAGCTTTTCTTAAATGCATCATCATCCATGGAATAATATATATGATAGTTCCTGGTGCACAGCTTGTTCATGAACAATTATTCTTTCAGCATCAGCAATTCCAAGTGTAAAATTTTTCATTGAAAACGAGGAATAGAGTAGCTCACATAACCTGAATGAAGGAGAATACTTTCAGAAATTGGGTTTCAGGTGCCAAACTATAATATGGATTACAAATCCCATCACCATCCCTAAATAATTTTGTAGTTTTATGATTGTCAATAAATTTGAATAGACAGAAGAATCATGGAAACTAATGGAAACATAATCACAGGCATTTTAAAAGAATAACTATATGTGGCTTCATATATTTAGTGGGGATTTATTTAGATTTTGCTTGACCAAAATGGTACTAATTTATCTACATAGGCTGGAAGCGATGGTTTCTGGAGTTAACTGAAACCCTTCCACTGAGTTCAGTGATCTTTAGATTAATATTGGGCTATCTGGATACTTTTAGATGTCTGTCTGATATTCTGTTAAAGAGATATGTCCTTAAACAATAGATTGGCATAAGATTAGAAAGGAAGTCCAAAAACTCTGCCATAAATTCAAGCATTGGATGAAATTGGTAAGGTGTAAATTGGCCCAAATTTTTGAACCTTTGTTTTGAGAGTGTAAAATTAAGAGAGCCATTCTTTTCATTTT